ATATACTATATATATATATATATATATATGCTAGATTCATGCTACCTTGTCGAAATGGGGGTCATCCTCTAGTGCAACATATGTTTAAGCATCACATTGTGAGATGTAGGGAGATTTTCAAGGGTTTTTATAATATGTATAACTGCCTAATTGCAAAGTATATTCTGTAATGATAGACAGTAAACATTGTATTTATATATTGTGATAGAAAATATATGTATTTTCTTTTCCTTTATTGAGATATTTTGCCAAGAATTTTTCCTTTTGCAGTTATTTTACAGATTTTGTTTGTTCTTCAAATCTTCAAAGGTAGGATATATACACACACACACACATTATTTTGGTAAAGTCATCTTTCTCTACAGTATTGTAGGAAGTTTCATTAATAATTAATTATAAAAGCAAGAAATATAAACTTAATGAAATAATATGAAAAGATCAATGTTAGGAATGCACCTTCTTGTGATGTCACCTAGCAATGCCCCGTCTCATGGTAGGACAGCAGTAGGCTTACAGGCTAAATCAGGGTTTTTATTGCACGCACTAGACCCAGCAGTAGTTAAGGTGACCATCTGGAGCTGGAAGGAAACAAACATGACATTGACCCAATTTCGACAAACTCATGTAAATGTAATGACGTTATGAGGGCATTGACGTAATTTGCATCTTATTGATAGGGATACATCATCAATATGAGGGGTGCTTTGCTATGTAGAAGTTGCTAGATTGTATAATAGGATAACCTCCCCAACACCAGGTGCTGCATTGATATGGATTCTACGAAAATATTTCATTCAGACTATTTTTTTCACATTTTTTGAAATACATATCGAATTTAAATTGTGAGTTCTATATAAAAGTAATTTCTCTCATGATGGTTGTAAACCTTAAATAGCTTCTGTGTATTGCTATAAAATAGTTGTCATTTAACGTTTAGATAGATTTATCTATAAAGATTGTTTTATATTTATTAATTTAAGATACCAAAAATAAAGTTCTTTCATTTCTAGGTTTATTTGTTGTAAAGTACAAAGCTACACAATGGGTTATCTATGTTCTGCCAATCATGGGTATTAAAACCCAATTTTTAATATTATAAATCCACTGACATACTGCTGAGACTCCAAAGGGTCCATTTTTAGTTTGATTGGCAATACACATTTTTTTATGAGAAAATAATTCTCGTTTTTAGTAACGTAAATACCAAACAGATTTTTTGTGCTCATATGGTTTCATCTTTGCAGTTTGTTTTTACTAGCTTGGATGAAAGTAAACCATTGATTTAGAATAAGCATTTATAGTTAATAACTTCAATGTTTCACATTTCGAATCACACCTCTAAGCATCAAAATGATTGAAAAAGCAACGTGTGCGAGCGTGGTAAGTTTTTTAAACTTCATTAAACTATGCAAAAATAAGATTAAGAGTTTGGAAGTAGGGACAACGTCACTACATGTGCATAGTAAGCTTTTTAGGTTTATTTGATTTATACAAAAATAAAATTAGGAGTAGCGAAGTAGAGAAGACGTCACCATATACGTAAGGGAGGGTGGGTGTGGATAGTACTATGTATTCCAAAGGGAAAATAATTTGTGGAATGGATCTGCCATCCTTCAGAGCCTCAACTTCAGACAGCAGTGTTTATGTGCTGAGGTTTCGTGTGTGAATTTCTTCATATGTTTATAAACACTTGGAATACCGTAACATCACGCCTAGTTATCATATTAAACATTGTTAACTCCATATGCGTTAAAGGTTTTAACCTTATGAAAGGACTCTGAGGACGAGATTAGCCCTCATAACTGCCCAAATGTAATAATCGTTTGTTTAAACAAGCCATGTTCTCATCTTAACTGCTGTACTTGAAAAATGTGTTTCATATTTTTATGGATTTGTTTTTCTAGTGTATAACTTGTGTCCGTCAAATTAAAGTAAAATCAAACACAAAAGACATTATTGTTATTATTATTATTCGAGTTAAATTACAGTAATTTGGTCAAACTTACATAGAAAAAAAATAGTTAAAAACGTACAAAAGGAAACTTCTATAACAAATATTTCCATGACAGTATATTTAGCTCAGAATTTGTACAATTTTCATTTATGTCTTCATTAACGTTATGTAAAATCACCGTAATCATTTAACTACCAAATTCTTGAGTATCTTACAAAGGGGATATTGAGCTTTCACTCCTATTCTCTGAATATATTCCTAAAACATGGTAAAATACCCAAATAATTTTCTTTACGATGATGTAGCATAAGCATAAAAGAATGAGACTGAATGTTTCGCTAATAGTTATTAAATGACTACAACAAATCTCTTCATATACGATTGCTTAATAAAACATTTTTTTTAGTGAGCATTATTTTTATGGTCTATTTTGGGTGCACAGTTACTGTTCAATGAATATTTTTATATAGTCTATAAGTGCTTCGAAAAAATATAGTTTCAATTAATTACTATGATCTTACCAATTAATTATTTTGAATATGATACTCAGGTCACGAAAAATATAAAAAAAATAACTTGAAAATCGAATTTTGTTTGCTACATGATTAATCAATAATGTATTCAAACAAATGAGTCTTATATACACAATAATCCGCATAAACCTTCAAATAACCTACATTATAATAAGTTTAGTTTATTTAGGTCGGACATGACATTCTTAAACAGTATAATTTTCAGTTTCTAAAATGGAAATCAAATGTAACTAAAGCTACAATGATAATAGCTTTTGATAAACTTACATATTTATTTAAGCACAATAAAAACAAGTAAGCATATTTTGTTCATCAATGCATTTTACTACTTTATTTCTAGATTTTTCGGACTTCCGAATATTAAGCAATCATTTTGAAAAAAAATAAAATATTGGTGCATGTAACTTATTATAGCTTTTAACCATAACACTATAGTAATTTTACCAACAAAATGTTTTCTATTATCAAATAATATAAGTCAAATTAGGTGAAAATAAGAGACAAAACGAAAAAAAAACTAAAGTCAGGTAATGTGAAATTTTATAATATACATGATAACACAGAGATTCGCTCTCGTGAAATCAAGGATAAAGTCTCGTTCTTTATGCTTTATATTCATTTACGTAATCTGATTTGGTGGATTCTTTATTGCCGGAGGATTTATTTTGTGGATAGTCTCGTACAGGTGGGACCTCTTCACGATGTTTCTGTATAAGCAGAATTGAAAGAACCAAGGCCAAAATCTGGAAATAGTATTATTAATCTATAATCAGCTCATTACATGTAATACATATCACAACTGATAAAGAAGTACTTGTAAGACACAAATCAATAACACGTACAACCGTCAGATCAAAGAGTGCGAAAAAGTTACACGTTCATCGATGTTACTTCATCAAAACTCCATTTTTGATGATTTAATATCATTCTAACTATAGTATAACATTCTTGAAGAACATTATATATATGAAAACATTTCTTATTGTTGTTGTTCAAGTAATCAGAAAATGCGGTACAGTAGAAAGATTAAGATCTTCTGACGCTAAGGATTAAATTCAGTATTATTACAGTAGAAATATTAGCACTTTATAACGCGAATGATTTGATTCCTTATTCTTACCTGAACCATAACGATGAAAATTGCAAACCCTCCAAGAATAGCTGCTTTTTGCGACAAATATTTAGCTAGCTTCTCACCGCAACCCTGGAAAAGATTCCAACGTAAAGCTTTCAGTTCATATAGATGATCGTTACCTTTTCCATATGATAAAAATTCCCAACATTTAAAGGAAAAACTGTGAACGTGAGGATATGCCTAATCACAAATATATTTCACACAAACCCCTCTTTTTTTTGTACTAATTCGCATGTTTATTTCAAAACATTCTCTGTTCTTTCACGTGCTCCGGTATCACGGTCAGGTGTCCTAATGGGGGTTTGTTTTAGGGTACAGATCCATTTTGGGTAGTTGTAAAAGCAAATAGATATAGTGGAGGTGCTTCTTTGGTACATAAGGGTTTTGTGAATCAAGTATTTTATGCTATTACCTAGTAAAGTTTGTAGTGTTAAAAAATTAAACATTCATAAGTTTCATAAATCCAAGCTAATATATAAACTTTAAAAATAAATAGTACAAATTTATAGCCTCCTTTACCAACAACGTAAATGCATATCATAAAGAAAAGCTTGTTCTTTCAGATAAGGAATAATAGGTACACACTCCAACTGTTTAACCCAAAGAGTCATTGTATTTTTTATTATTGCTACAATAAAATACCTACAGTTTTATGAGGCTGCAACGTGGTTTCATTGAGACATGAATTTGGCAATTCGATGAAGTAGCTGAGTTTTTCTCCATAATCCAGGGAAGAAGTAGCTCCACAACATTCCAGCTGAAACAATCGAAATAAACAAGACTAAATACTGACAGACTGGAATGCAAAAAACACATATTGACCAAATGGAATATAAAAAACCCTAACACATATGGACCGAATGGAATACAAAAAACACAAATACATATGGGCCAACTGGAATAAAGAAACACTAATACATATGGACCAATCTTGAGTAAAGAAACATCAATGCATAAAGACCAACTGGAATACAAAAAACACAAATACATATATAGACCAACTGAAAAAAGAAACACTAATACATATGAACTAACTGGAATAAAGAAACACAAATACATAAAGACCAACTGAAATACAAAAAACCACTAATACATATGGACTAACTGAAATACATAAAAATGCATTACAATCAATATGTAAAATAACAGTTGATGCCATATTGTGATACTCCAATAACTTAATGATATGAAAATTAGACCTATGTATTTGACGAGTTTTATTTGCAGTAAATGTATTCTTTCGGCTAAGATCAAGAAGAGAAACGCACTAAACTATAAAGATATATTAGCACTTTTTACATGATGAACTGTAATGGTACGGTAATGATATTCGTTAGGTTTAGTCTGATCTTCCTTAAAGAAATTCCATTAAAAACTGGATATGATAAAAATAATTATCCAAGCAATACAGATTGAGGGTTTTTATTAATATGAAACAAAAGTTAAGTATCAAAACTTGATAAAGAATAGTATAGGTTAAAGCATTTTTAGCACAAAACTATATAGTGGGTTATCTGCGTTCTGTCTACTGCGCGAATTTGATCCCCGAATTTTAGCAATGTAAATCCATATACTTAATGCTAATCCACCGAAGAACTTTTTAGAACTTTATTACAAGTTACAGCTTTTACAGTAAGGAATGATATTTGTAATTAGTAAGTAAACTGAAAACGAAATTTGTAGAACTTTCTTTTATCCTAATAAAGTATCCAATTAATTCTAAAAAAGAATATATTCTATTCCTTGGTAGCGTTTTTCTCTTACAACTAACACTAAAATATTAGATATTGTTGCACTGTAAAACCTACTGTAAAACTTTTCAATGAAACAAAGCTATTATATAACATACATAATTTGTTCTAATACCGTGCCCTCTGTAGCAAACATATTGTGCCATCATTTTATGTCAGGGTTAGTTTTACTCATTAATTCAGTGTCGAGTTTCCAAAAGTAGTTCTTTTAGCTCTTACTTACTAATGAATGTCACAACAAAAACAAAACTTTTGGTTTTTTCATTAGAAAATAAAAAGAATTGAAAGGCGTTGGTTATTAAACACAAAGCTACACAAAGGGCTGTCTGTGCTCTGACCATCACTGTATCGAAACCCGATTTATAGTAGTATAAATCCGAAAACATACCACTGTGCCGGCAAGAATTAAAGGAACCTTATGGTCTGACAAGATTGGAGTAGACCAAATCTTAATGATTTAGGGTTGGAATGTTTCAGGTTACGTTTTATAAAAACATTTAAAACAAGAAAGATAAAATATTAATCACAACTCAAAATTCCTTACAACAAGTTTTCATCGACTGCAAGCTATTTGGTTACAAAGAACATGCATGTAATGTATATTAGTTAAAACTTTAGTGTGTGCAGCATTTGTATGCAGTTTCTGCATTAAACATCTAGCTGCAATTATTATAGTTGTATCTATTATGGAATAAACAATTAAACTATGGGATAAGCTTGTGCTTCGCATACAACGTATCTACTAGAATTATTTGAGTAGTTAAACATTGTTTAGGGGAAAAAATAACATTTTATAGACGGGATTTAATCCTCGATTTTGCGTAGACGAAGCCCAAAGATATTTCAACATGCATAGCATTATTAAGTTGAATACTATAAGTACATAAGAAGGGTATATGTTTTGAATAGTTAAATCCTTCAAATAATGTTGTTGTTGTATTATGTAGTTCATGCCCAACTACATAATGTTGTTGTTGTATTATGTAGTTGGGCATGAATGAAACAAAAACGTATTAAGCAGAATATTTAGTTGCTGTATTTAGATTTAAAATAAAATACTGTAAAGAATGTAAAGACTATAAACGATATTTATCTCTGTACATAGCATTTTGTGTATAAGCAACTTATTTTTGTGAATAATCGCCAACTTTGACTAAGATCTTGAGATATTTGTCTTGATTGAACTCTCAATAAGCGACATTATGAAACATTGAATTTTTAAGATTATGGTATCAAGGTATCATCTCTCTTCGTTTGTTACTATTTCAGTTCTTTTTCTTTTTCCTCACTTAATGGTATTAACTCTCTTTTTTTTTTACTTTCCCCTAAAATATTAGCAAAACGTCGGGTCCACTACTACCTGGCGCCTGTATTAAGATAGTTTGAAACGAATAATAGTTGTAACATAGTGAACTTTTAAAATCATGGTGTAGAAATCAACTGTCGTCATGTGTTTTTATTATTATTATTATTATTTCTGTTGTGTATATGTGTCTAAATTGCATATATATATTATCTGAAACCTTTAATAATTTTCTTGCACGCAATGTGTTAGCTTTAGAACATCGAAAATGAATGAAGTTGTTGCAGTGACTATTAATGCTAATTTGTTTAGATTATATAGTGGGTAAACACGTGCTTCGCGACACGAAGCGCCTTTGAACTTTAGGCCTAACTGTCGATTTTTATGCGCCTATTTGAATTTGTATTGAGATATTATGGTATTGTGTTATTTATAAGCCACGGAAAGGTAAATAATAACTTAATGTGTTTCTTTGCGTATTTGTTTATGTTAATGAAGTAATTGGGTTTAAAGTTAATGAAATAAACGAGTTTTTCACTCGTATAGAACAATCCATGTTAAATGTCGTTCACTTTTGCACTCGTATAAACGTAAGAGTAACACTCTACAATTAGCCAATATGAATATTGGGTTTCCATGTGAAGTAGCACGCATACATGCACGAACAGACTGAAACACATTGTTTTTTTAATTACTTAGAATACTTACGTTGATTTGAATCAAATCAATAGTTTTAGTGGCTGAATCACTGACAATGCGACGTGGAATTTCCTCTTCCAGAGCTTGAGTGAAAAGATTTTGGAGCTGAAAAAATAACGTTTTCGTAAGTTAAATAAGTCGTTATAGTTTTTAGATTTCCATAATAAAACCATTATTATTATTATTACTATACAGACTTTCTTGAAAGTGCGTGTGATGGAATATGGCATTTCAAGGAAATTACTGGATTAATTGTGATTTATACAGTTATGATTCACTGTGTATATGAATTCTGTTTTTCATTAAACAAAGAAAATAAATTTTTATCCTTAAATTTATTCATTTGATTCTTTCGGAAATTCGCGCAAAACTTCTTGTCATTTCTAATTTTGAACTGTTAGGCTAGAGGGAAGCCAGCTAGTCACAGCACTCACCGCTAAACGTTGGCCACTCTAATCAATTAGCAAATATGACCGTTACTTTTATATTCCATTCACAGCCCAAAGTAGGGAACGTGTTTTTGCAGAAAGGAAACGCAAACCATGAACCCTCGGATGCACAGTCTAACTCCCTAACCGAATCCAGATTACTCGATGTTTTTCTTAAAGTAAATAAAATATATGAATGAAATATAATATAAATGAATAAGAATGATAGCTATACAGAGCGACAGACGGTAGTTAACACTCCTGATAGTGAAGAAAAAACGTGGTCTAGTCATTTTTGTTTTCCACATCTAATAAGAAGTAATTATGTTCGAAACCTGTTGAACTTATAGGTTCTTCACACTCAAATTGATATTTGAGTAAAATTTGTATGTTTGTTTTTAACCTTCGAGCTACATAGTGGGTTATCTGTGTTGTGCCCACCACAAGGAGAGGACTCCGAATTTTAGCGTTCTATGTCTTACGTTTAACGCTGAGTCACCCGGGAAGGGGCTCGTATAACATTTAATGTGTTACTTTTATGAAAGATAAACTTGATGAGTGGAATATATAGTTATAACAAATACCCTTTTCTTTATGTAAAATATAATGTTCATTATCTAATATTTCGAATGTAGTGAAGCTTCAAGAACAGAAAACAAATGCTCTCACCTTTTCACCGGTACCTAACTTCCAAGCTAGACCTGCTACAGTGAGTTCCAAAATTAGAAGGATTACCATAGCCACACAAAACTGTAAATAAAAAAAAAGGTGAGCGAAAAAGATTTATATACGAAAATAACAAATAGCTCCAAATTTCCAATAATATTTTGTTTACAGCATCTACTATGATCTGGTAAAAATTATTTCATAAAAGTTTAGAGGAAGAAAACGTCTAGCATACAAGATAATTACTTTAGCAGACTTGTCCTTAACAGGATGTTTTTAGTTTGTTTGAAATTCGCGCAAAGCTACACGAGGGCTATCTGCGCTAGCCGTCCCTAATTTGGCAGTGAACGACTAGAGAAAAGGCAGCTAGTCATCACCATCCACCGACAACTCTTGGGCTTCTCTTTTATCAACAAATAGTAGGACTGACTCTTACTTATAATGCACACACGGCTGAAAGGGCGAGCATGTTTGGTGGGACGGGGATTTGAACCCGCGACCCTCAGATTGCGAGTCGAGCGCTCTAACCACCTGGCCATGCTAGGCCAAGGATGTTTTTAAACGGCAAGAAAACAGGTGCGGAGGCAGTCGTCATGGTTTTAGGGAAAAGTATTTAGTTTTCACAGAAGTGATAATATTGATATTGTGAAAGGACAGTAATGATTTATATGATGTAATGTAGGAAAGGGAGTTTCTATTTTAAATACAACATTTAGTATAATGGTCAGTTCTACCTCAAAGAAATGACTGTGTAGAAGTTTATGCATTATTCTTTTTTTTTAATTTCGTCGCTTTATGGAACTGTATCATTTACAAGTAATATATCTTAACACTCACGATCCTTATCTAAACTTCTTATTCATGTACTTTAACTCCCGTTATTATTTGTAGTCATTTTTTGTATATTTTATTTATCTGTAAAAGAAATTACTAGCATATATTGAGTAAATATAGTGCATTCCTATGATGTGTACTCTTAAGGAAATTAAACTAACAGTTGGATTCGTTAAATATTGAAATTTCAAAAGCGTTTTCCCTAAACACTAAGGAAGCATTTGTTAACGTACATTTAAGCTTGCTTGTAATATTAATTTTGTGTTTGATTATCAGAGGAGAGTTATATATATTCAAGTTCATCTGCTAAGTGTAGAGGTATTACCAGGTATACATTTATCTGGATCGTTAGCTATTTTATTATTACAAGCAAAGTCCAAGTACAGTTCTTTATCTGAAATACAGTACAAACTCAAGCAAACTTTAAACATGCGCAGTGTAGCATAAGGATATCTAACTTGAGCATTACGAGAAGAGCGTATAAACAAGCTTATTTAACGTGATAAGTTTTACTTCTTTGGTTCATATACTGTTATGTATCTACTATATAGTTAAGTTCATTTTATAGATTTCACCGTGTAAAGACTATCAATAATAAAACTAGCCAAAGGTGTATTAAAGGTTAAGAAAACAGGAAAAATTCAAACACCATACTAAGTTATATGATACACAGTTTACCAGTAAGAAAAACGGCGTGTTTTACCCTAAGCTTGAAAATATATAGTCGAAAAGGGCGTTTATCTATATAACTCTATATATTAAAATGTGAATTTCACTCTCTCCTATATTTTCAGTTTTTTAAACTAAATATTTCAGTCTGTTGTTTCTAAAATACGTCATAAAAAGCGAACATTAAAACGGTCAGAAATAATTGCATTACCATCATTTGGCTCATTAAATGTACAAGTTCAAAATACTCTTTACTTAGAAGTTAAATAAAGAAATCCACAGTAGCTTACGATTGTTAGAGCCCATGTCTTGCCAGATGATCCAACACAACCAATGATACTGATCAAAAGCAGGAACACAGCTACAATGATGATTATCGTGGCTGCTTTTGTCACGTGGGAAATTGGTATATCGTTGTTCGTCTCGAGTTGTTTTTGATCAAGTACAATCCATATCCCTAATCCCAGCAACACTGCACCAAGCAACTAAAGCCATAACAGAACAACATAGAAAAATAAATAATTTTCTAACACTATTTCATGCAAATGGATTTAACTGGTGACAAATCTTAGAAATATACAACCTTTATATTTAACTTTGTGTAAAACCCGTATAAAAATAAGTAATTGTTTCCAAAACATTAAAATAAGTTATTATCTTTGAAGATTGTATAATAAGCTGTAGCTGAGGCGATTTTAAACAAAATGTTGCTTCAAAAGTCGAGAATTAAAATAATAATTCACCTTCACTAACCCCATTTCATTTTATATTGGATTCCCACTTTATATTGAATTAAACCCCCTTTTAGTGAAACATATCATGGACTCCATGACAGAAAGTCATGTTCAATTCCCCCAAGAGCATGGTCTGAAATTTGCCCATAGATGTCACCAGAGCATTATGGTGACGAATGAGACATTCGTTACAGTCTTTGATATCAGACCAACCGTTCTATAACTTCAACTTTGCAATATTCACAATAAGTTAAATTCTGGATTTTACTTGTACATAAAAGTCCACTACTGACAGCCAATAATAAATTTCTTAGGAATGTTACACCTGTCTAGCTCGTCAACTAATCTAGATTATCATTCCATTCTCATTGGTTTGTTGGGCCATAGTAACCTGAAGAATGAACTTTCCAGATTTTTCAGATTTTATCACGAGAGTGCAGAATGTTTAAGTGGCCATTAAGTTTTAATTAGTTGAAACTGGATTAACTAGGTGAAGCGATATATGTTTTAGTGAACCATGCTTTGTCTGTGTAATGGTTTTGTTGAACTAGGGTCCTGTTTATACATCCAGGACTTTTAGTGTAGTATGTGGTTTTCAGGTCTAAATTCAATGTGAAATTTGTCTAGTAAAGCTTCGTTTGCAGAATAACGTCTATTTATTTCGTACGTGAGTCCCCATGTCTTAGTTTTTATTCTATCTTAGTCTCGTTCACTTGATCTCGTATTTTCATCATCACCATTCATTCACCTGCTAGCCTACTTCGATATAATCTCTTGTTGTAGGCGATGGTGGTTTACTTGTGTAATCTTAGCTTTTTCTATAGAATAGCACTGGTGAGCGAAAGTCAGCATATTTCTAACTTGCTAGTGGACATCTTGTCTGGTATAAGATGTACTGGACGTGTAAGTGAGGAGAAACCTTCTACGTTTACAATATGGTCATTGCCTTATAGTTATATAACAGCATAGCCGGAAGAATTTGCTGCTAATTCGATGACGAGGAACCCACTTTGAGACTAATAATGGCTGGAGACGGCTTGAATGGGTAATGAAGAAAAACTTTAATATAAGTTTAAAATAACAGCAAATGTACAACGTTTCGACAAGGTTTTGTCATCATCACCTGACACAAGCTAAGGACCCTCTAGCCAACTGACATAATTTAGGAGATTAAGAGTGAACCAACCAATCGCAGTTTTGGTAATCTCCGCTGGGAAAGGCTCCTCTCGGTCCTACTGGTTTCCATACCCAACATGTGGACAAGTAGGCTATAAGAGTCAGAGATTGTGGCTATACCTATGGACATATGAACACTTCTTCAGATCGCCTGCTGTGTCAGACATGACAATTATGACATTTTCCATTAGTAGAGCTTTCTGGCTGGAGAAATGAGGCTTGAAGCTACAACATTGCCTGGATCACGAATGAAACTGCTGTATGATGAATACAAAAAGTTTATCATACACAATTACCTGATGGACTTCTCGTGTGCATTTGCTCTAATATTTTTGTTGCTTCCAAACTTTCATGTAAAACAAGCATATAGCTTTTTTGTTTTTGAATTTCGTGCAAAGCTACACGAGGGCCATCTGCGCTAGCCGTTCCTAATTTAGCAGTGAAAGACTAGAGGGAAGGCAGCTAGTCATCACCACCCACCGCCAACCCTTGGGCTTCTGTTTTACCAACATATAGTGGGGTTGACCGTAATATTATAACGCCCTCGCGGCTGAAAGGGCGAGCATATTTGGTGAGGATTCGAACTCAAGCGCCCTAACCACCTGGCCAGCATATAGGTAACAGACTAAAAAATGATACATATAGCAGCATGATGTGCAAGTGGTCACAATATCAGCACTGTACACTAGCGATGAAATAATTTATAATGAAAATATTGTTAAAATTAGATTGCAGAGTACAAAACAAAATAATACTAATTTACTCATTTGTAGAGTAATTGTTAAAGGTATGATCTTGGAAGAAGTTATTATAACCATTATAATAAGGGCTAAAGTTTTGGTGCTGAAACAATGTTATTTCTTATTGTAAATGGTAGGTTGGCTTGCCTTGGTGCTCTAATAATTTTTTTTTTATGGTGAATGGTAAGTCGACTTGAGATATTGTGGATTGAATGTTTTTCAATAGACTGCATTGCAGTTTTTCGCTACATTATATCTGACGTTTACTTTTCCGATGAGTATTTTACTTTTTTAATTTTCTTTTGCATTCTACTAGATAGACTTGTATGTTGAACTTGCAATATAAAATATTCATGTGCATAGATTATACTTTAAACTTGTTTCAGTGATGCGTAACTACTCACGGTAACTAATTATGTCTGTTAATATTTTAAATCGAAATTTAAATTATTTTAAATTTTTGAGCTCATTTAAAAGTAATCCTTAAGTTATAGTGATGATAGTTTTGTTTTTGTATTCATAACTGAAGATGAGTTGTTTTTGTATAAAGTTAAATTTTCAGCCCAGACTGTATTATGGTGTTTATAGATGGCAATAGTTCAGCATGGTTTGTTATATATTTGAGGATATCATATAGAAATGTTTATCTTTACACTGGTAAATTTTTTCTGATAGAAAACTTGCCTTGTAATATCTTTCTTGTTTATGCCTTACTGTATATGATTTGAAGTTTACGCATTCTGAACTTAACGCTTTCTTTGTCATTATAATTTTTGGTGATTATTTTCTAATATTAACCAATTCTGAGGTTTAAATGTCCTAAACTGTGAAATTTATGTCTCGAACAGTTTCAGTTACTTATTAATTTACATTTTATTTTGTCGATTAATCTGGACACTTGAGTATGGCCCGGCATGGACAGGTGATTAGAACGCTCGACTCGCAATATGCTCGCCCTTTAAGGGGTGGGGCGTTATAAAGTGATGGTCAATCCCACTATTCGTTGGTAAAAGAGTAGCCTAAGAGTTGGAGGTGGGTGGTGATGATTAGCTGTCTTCCTCTTAGTCTTACACTGTTAAATTAGGGACGGCTAGCGCAGAGAAATGGGGTGAAGTCACATCACAAAGTCATAGTTATTCAATATTATTATTTTTTTATCTTGGATAACACTGAAGCATTATTTCTTGACTGTTTCCGAGATTATAAGTTTTCGAAGCAGTTGTCGAAACAGTTTTAGAATCGAATCATGGCCACAGTTGAAGGAATCTGTAAATTGAAGCACAATTCTGTATTTGTTCAGCTTTATAACACTCTCCAATTTTTGTACAAGACGGTGGCGACCACGTTTATTTTTTATAGTGGCAGACATATTATTTTGTTCTTTTATATACGTGTGTGGGAAAGAGAGAGTCTGTGAGAACGGGAGATAACGAAGTTGTAACGTGCAACATAGCTTTTGTGTGAAATAAAATCCATTTTCATTCCACTGAAAATTTTTATATGTTGTCACAGCTTTTTAAAAATCTGATTAGTTAAGATTGTGCAGAATATATATAGTTAGAAATTGTTTTCTGAAAATTTCCACTTTCAAAAAGACACGCCAAGGAAATGCAGCGTACCGAGTGCTAAGCAGCCTCACGTGAGCGAAGCCAATCGTATTACAGTGTTCCTATAATGAATTCATCCAGAAATATTCGAAAATTTTATTAAAATACTAGTGTAGATAAATCATTCGAGACGTCTTCAAAAATCTGACAAAAATATGCGTTAGTAAGTAACCGAGATTGGAACAGGTTTAACGAATTTGTTTTTAGTAGTCAAATCTATCAGCTATATAGAGGCATCTTGTTAACTGTACCACCAGTAGACGTTCATCAGCTACATAGGTGTGCATTCAGCTATTATACGATTGTTCGCCATTTTGAATTTCAAATGTTTTAACTTTCCAATAAACAATCTGCACTTTTCCAAAATAAAATAAGAAACTTACCCACATCAAGATATTACAGCCAACGAAAGCAACTTCTTTGAAGCCCATTTTCGTACAAAAGTAAAGGAAGGTTTATTTTTGATTAGGACTATATTCTGTTTGAACCTGAGAAATACTGGTCGCCAAGCAGAAGCTTTTCGAAGTGGTTATCTCTATGGATTGTTATCTTATCGTTCACAGACCAAAGTACGTGCTTTATAACGGTGCAATATTTAAACAGAAAACATTTTTGTTTTGAGAGCTCTCTAACGATATATTTAACAGTTAAAAAGATATAGCATATGAAGGTAAAATCATGCAAGTTTACAATGGACTCTGTATTCTTGGTGATTATTTTCGTAAATGTAAGTGATGTAATTAGTTATGCGTCAAGTTGCTTATGGCTGTCTTTTGTGAACAAGTGAGATGTGTTGCCTTTTACCACAGATATTCGTAACATTATTATTACGAACCAGTACTGCATCAAGTAAATAGGTAATTCTGCATTTACTAAAGTTTAAGGGTCTGTAAAACTACCTGTTAAACATAAAAATGAGATATTTTCAAATTCTATCAACAGGTGGTAGAACCTATGTTGGTTTTTGTGGAGTTGTAAAGATGTCCCAAAAGCGAATTTGAAGAGTAATTTTATTTTTATATGTTTTTTACTTAATCCATAAGATGATATGAAGTGTATTTTTATATTTTATCATTCTTTACTTAAACTCGATTTAACATTTTTCCAGTCTTATAAAGAAGATCAAATATGTTATTAATGCTACAAATGATAATGAAATTACAAAGTCATATAACCTTGTGGTGGAATCAAATATGCTTAATAAATTATGGAAAAAAAAAGAATGTGATTAAAAATTCCAGAACAAATAAGCGATATATTACCATAGTAAAGCAAAAAAAAAATTATTGACCAATATTTAGAAATTTCTTCAAAACTGGAGCACCTACCTTCTTGCATCACGCCCTGACCCCAGACAGACAGGCGACTGTGAGTTATTAGGTCGCCAAGAAATTAATGTTTCTTTTTTTAGATGAAAAAAACCGAACAACTTATACATCAAAACAAAACATTTATTAAATGAAATAGTCTCCATTCTTATCGATGATGCTTACAATCAGGTTTCAATTCCCTGATTAAACAAATCACTTAGCTTTAAAGT